CTGGCTCAGGCTCACAACATTAATGATATTGGTACACCACTCGGTTTTCCATTCGCGGAGGAAAGTTTTGCTTGAAATCGAGTGGTGTACCAATATCATTAATATACATATGAACTTGATATTTTCAGCACTTGCAAATCTCGGCAACGTTCTATCAAGGAAGGGCTCAAAAGAGGAAGCAAAAATAATTTATCAGCAAGCATTAGCTCACCGCCCGAATATGGCTGATACTCATTATAATCTGTATGTATTCTTCGTAGTTTTTCCACACATATATCTTCATAAATCATTCTTCATAAAATTTGTTCTCTTTGCTTTTTTGTATTCTCAATTTAGAAAAAATATTTCAAAATGATAAAATCTGCATTAGAAATAATCAGTATCTCTAGTCGCTTCGCAGTAAGACTGATTAAATTCTGACCAATTCGTTCGGCACTGTTGTCACAACAGTGCCATTCGTTCATGCTGATCCAATAGAACTACAGTCTTGAATACAATAATCACTTGACATTCCATGATGCATTTCTTTTAACATACATAGACGAAAATCGTTGCAATAGTTGAGTACAAAAGCTTTCTAGGGGTGTGTTGTACCAAGATGCAAATGATCTCGAACGTGCAATATCCAGCTATCACACCGCTATTTCCTACCGTCCAACACTAGCTTCAGGTGAGCATCATACGCCGTTTCTGAGGAGATGGTAGCTCGATCATAAATGACATGAACAGTATTTGTTTGTAGCATACCTCAATCTTGGACTATGTGCTTGGGAAAAGAACGATAGTGAGACGGCAAAAGAAGTGTTCGAAAAATGTTTGAAATTGGATGCCACACATTTGAAGAACCCGAGGAACCATCGCAGTGCACAAGTAGCATGTGCATACAATCTTGGTGTTATGCTAGGCAAACTGCAACGACATTCTGANCTATGAGGGATCAGCGAGTGTTTTGAACATGTTAGGGGAATCATTGTCTCAAATTGGCGATTTCGATCAAGCAGAATATTATTTCCAGAAGGCACTACTGCATGCGCCGTCACATATTCCAGCGTACTTAACCCTTTCACAATTAAGGTTCATTTTCTTCCTCCGAAAACCATTCAAACAACCATCTGATTGACGAACTGAAGGTACAAATCAATTCATTTTCAGACTGAAGCAGAAAAGATATACAGAAGCATTGGAGGTGTTGCAAAGTGCGTATCGATTGAATGAAACAAATTCGCTACTGAATTTCCATATGGGTGTTTATTATTCAGCCCGAGGTGACCATCCGGAAGCTATAAAGTATCTAAAAAGAGCTGAAGTTGTTAATGGAAAGAATGCTGATGTACTATCAGCTCTTGCCGAGTCTTGCCGACAAACTGGACTGAACGAAGAGGCTGAGAAGGTATTTTGCTCACTTGACTCTTCCTATTTCTCATTTTATCTTTGAATTTTGTTTAGCTTTTTCTTCAGAGTTCATTTCGTTGGTGATATAATTAATTATTCAAGTTTTTTCGAACTTTGTCTGATCGTTTTCGTTGAAAATCAAACAATGGAATAGCTGAGAACGATTTTTTGCTTTATTTAATCGATTGGTTGTGGCTGAAGTGTCCATAGTACTGTTCTTCCTCATAATACCTTAGGTTAGCTCCATAGTTACGGATGATCACGATGTCAAATCGCAAAACGAGCAGCGATATGATAATACTAGACGAATGACAGCAATAGAAGCTGGATCACTTCTCACAAAAATAACGTAACAATAAAGGATTATTTGCAGTATTACGAGCGACTCGCTGAGATGGGCGATGAAACATCACCATTCGCTTACTCAAATTATGCCGCAATTTTGCATGTGAATGGCAAATACGAGAAAGCCGAACGAATGTACAAGAAAGCGATCGAGATCAATCCGAATGATTCGCTATCGAACAAAAATCTTCGTAAATTGTACAGACTCATGAACAGATAGATTCACTTGTTCTCGAACTCAGTCATCTTCCTTACAAATCATGTTCCATTTAAGTCGAGCGCTTTAGTGGATTATATATCGTTTCTGCAATGTCGTATTATCAGTATTGTACCATGTTTATTTGCAATGTGATCTTTGATCAATTTCGATTGTGGTTTGCATTTTGGCTTCAGTTGATCCAGTTATGCTTATGTACGTTGAGATCACCACGACTGCAACCTTGAGATTAGCTATCGTCAACCGAAATCGATGGGTTCGAAAACCAACTAGGTCATTCTCGGCTGAAATTTTGAATTTGCAGCCCATATGCGAGAGTTAAAATTCAGTTTTATAC